GACTCCATACTACTAAGTACCACTTTGCATACAATGATGGACATCGTCTATTGTCCGAGACCTCATTGTCAGTATCCAGTCAGTAGAGAACCTAACGAAAGAATGGCAAACTGTCCTGCTTGTCAGTATGCGTTTTGTGTATACTGTAAAATGGTATATCACGGAATTGAACCTTGCAAACTTAAATCAGGTACACTTTTCACCTTCCAGTTTATTTTACGTAAGGTAAAAACTACAGACTGTACTAATCACTATTAAAATAATGTCTTAGTTGAAAAGCAGCAACTAGTAATGGAATATCAAAAGGCATCGGACGAGAGGAAAATACATCTAGAGGAACGGTATGGAAAGAAACAATTACTAGCTCTAGTGCATAACACCATGTCGGAAATGTGGATCGACGAATACACTAAAAAGTGTCCTGAGTGCAATGCAGCTATTGAGGTACAGTTACACAGTTTTAGCGATATTGAAGTAAATCATTGCATTATTTTATTCTCTGTACGGCACACTCATATTATAGAAATCGGATGGCTGTAATAAAATGATGTGTTGGTGTTGCAATACATATTTCTGTTGGATCTGTGGAGAACGTATCAATGACAAGTGGCCATATTTGCATTTCTGAGATCCTGAATCAAAGTGCTACAAAAAGCTATTCCGCCAAGTATTAATACCATTAGAACCAGGTGACCCTGAATATGATGAAGATAACCTGGACTTCCCCGCCGTATACCTCGGCAACGATTCCGATGACGAAAATTTTTCTGACGATGTTTTTAATATGGATGATGAATTATCATAGTTAAAATAGATAGCTCTATGCTGTATTTCATATGTACACGTATTTTATTTTTCGGAAGGAAATTCTGTTCATTTTATTTCTTTTTCTTCTAAATTCGATTATCTCAAAATGAACATCAGATGAATGAGCTGTAACTAGTTGTGTTCAAAGTTTACATCCAATCACATTGTATACTCATTTTTCGCCAAAGAGATTGCGATAATCTGTGATTGATGTAACTCTAGATAAAGAATATTTAATTAATTGCTAGTCAGCGAGTAACGACATTCAGTATCAAGAATGAAAAAGTTGGCTAATTTCAATGTGAAATATCTCCGTTCTGTAGAAAACGAATACTGCTGTACAGAGCTAAGATATTTTTTCCTAGACATTTTTTCTTTTGAAAGTAAAAACAATAATATAATATTTTATATATTATTAAAACACAGCATAGCATAATGCCAATTGTATATTGCAAGTAATAGTAGTTAAAATTTATGTACATGCTGAAGATTTGTTAGATATCTCCTATTGGTTTTCTATTTTGTATATTTTTCCCCCGAACTTGACGATAGCTTCTATAACAAAAAAAAATATTTGCTACAGCGGCAAACATTCAAAATGAATACTTATAAGGTATTTGCATCTAAGATGTATTCTATTGGCATCGAATTTTTGTTATTTGTAAAAATTATTTGAATATGTGGTTTCGGGCAAGACAATTATGGTGTACGATTATTTCATTTATTTATTTGATACAGCCTCGTGTATTCATTTATTATAATTTAAATAAACTACGTGTAAGAGAAACTGTTTTTCATTATACCCACTGAGTTTACTCTCTTGACCCTCTTTATCAATATCTTTTGGGTTATACAATATCCAATGTCCACAAAAAAAGTGAAAAACATAAATGCCATTAATGTTTAATATTTTGAATCTTGATAACATGAAATAAATATTAAAATAATATGACGCTTCGAATTTTGGTTCTCTGCGAAGTCAATGTGAAATACATACGCTAGTCGCTCGATCTATACGCTTTATTACTTCATGGGTTGATGGTTGAATCTTTATGTTCAGTGTTAGGAATACTCGGTTGATATGTGAGATAGAATATTTTTTAAATATTTTGCAGAATCTAACAGGATGAAGAAACAGAATAAGTATTCGATAGACCACGTTGAAGATTTCGAAGTGAAAATGATTATATAATCATGTCGCCTATCACAGACAGTTGATCGATAATGATCCCAAAAAATATGAATCATAAAATATCATCTAAAATAATCAAATTATCTTTTTTTTATATTTAAGTATTTCATTATTTTCATAACCTAAAAACTGGCTACATAAATTCATCCTACATATGTGCTGAACTATACTTGCAATAAAAATCATTTTTAACCCATCATCAGCCACGTTATTTCTATCGTCTCACTCTCACTGCTGCGTCATTCTATAGATTCACCTGTCTCGCGTGAGAGAAACACTATATCGATACGCTAGTTGAATGGCAGAGCCACCCACATTGCATCCCTTGGAAAGTTTAAACAAATTTTTTCTTCCTCTCTCCTAGTTATCCATTCACCTTCGCCCTTTGCAGATGATACTGAAATTGTGATTTTGTTATTGATCGCATCAGCCACCTTTGGCGGGATTTGCACGCGCTTTTCCCTGAATTGCCAGTAGCGTTCAGTCTTCCGTACGCGCGGGTTGTTCTACCAGTTGCTCCGATCTCGTAGACGGCGTGTTCAATTCTACGTTAAGTAAAGTTTTCGATTTCAATATATTTTTCCATGAGTCATTTGTACGAGCGCAAAAATAAAATTTTTCAATTATTGCATCACACCATTTACGAAAATTAATTATTTATTAAATCACAATAAATCTTAAAATTCATCATTGACTTGGATAACTGCGACTGATGCAAAAGTGATTCGAAATATATTAAAATAATAAAACCCACAAATAATTGTGCGAATAGTAAACGGCGTCTCTGAGGAATTATCATTTCGCTAATATTTAAAAAAAATTTAGATACAGTGACGCATGTTCAACCCAAGTATATGATCTACAAAAAACATGGTGCTGTTGAAAATAAACGGAGTGCTCTGGAACGACGTATTAAACCATTTGTGATAAGGTCTAAAATAATAATAATCTTCTCAGTGCAAATACCACAGTGTAATTATTAGCAATTCATATTGAATATAATTTCGTTGGAATACTTGTGAGAGGGATGATATTCAAACGTCTATTTCAAGTTCCTGTGTATTAACATAGTTGCGTTCATTAAAATTCTCTTCTGCTCCGATAAATACATATATATTCATCATAACTTCCGTGCTTATACAATATATAATGAGAAACCTATATAATTATATTCTATTGTGAGAAGTGTATTTGGGATTCACGTGCTGTATCAATATTTGAAAATTAACCGACAATTGAACTCAAGTGGTAACTGATTTCCAGAAAATAACAAGGTGGCAGTGACGTCATTGCATATTTGCGCGCGGATTTTCGCGTGGGCATGGGATCTTCTCGTAGGTAGCACTACATATCCAATGCAACACGTGAGTATACATATAATATACATTCTCTACTATACTAAATATGTATATCTATAACTTGCATAGAGTTTTAGGTTAATACGTGGTTTTGAACATGATTCAGAAGTATATATTAGTATATTGATGTTACATTAAACTGTATCGTTTGTGTAACTACGAAACGTATGTTTTAGCACGTGTCTTAGCCCAGTGTCAATGCGAGTGTAATCCTCGGGTATCTAAGGTCGATCGAGAGAGAATTGGGTGCGAGAAATAAAAGCTGAAAAGCTTGGGTGAATCGTAATAAAATTCACTTTCACTCTGGCATCCCTGAGAGAAGAATAACAGGCGTCTGAGGAAGTTTGTGAAAAGTTTCGAAAATTACGTTACTACAAGTTTCACACGCAACTAAAATTATTCGCTGCTTCAATACTTCTCATTGTTAGATGAATACTTAGAATCGCCATCGTGACGTAGGACGTGAATGCTTTTTTTTTATGTGCCCAAGAAGGAAATATCCTTTTTTATTAAATCGACTCATATTTTTTCACGATCCTTGGAAAAGTGGGACAGAGAATAAACGTCAATCGTAACCGGTGAAATATTATCGAGAAGGAAAGTGATACTTTTTTTTCCACATTGTCGTGGCAGTGTGTATTTGTATTAAGTATGTAAGGACATCTTATTGGCACTTTTTCATGTACCATATTATATAATAGTATTATACTGTATACAATACTATTGTATTATATGAAATACAGAAAAGGCTTTATTTTGTTTTATTTTCTACAGCATACCGTGTTTGCTGAACACACGCACCCTTATTTTGTATATACATTCATTTACCTCAGAGTTCTATACAAAATATTGGAAGATATTTCAATGAAATTATTTATAGAGGACACCAAGCTTGTTTATTTTATTTTTTTTTTCAATACGAATACTGTTACGATGGATAAGATGGATCATCGATAATCATAGTAATTTCTGGAATGTTCATATTTCGAGACAACTCGATTGTCTAATTTTATATAAACTTTTTTTTATTGGCCAATCAATTACGTCTTACTCCACGTGTGCAAATTTCCATAGACATTTGATTTTAGTTGAGGTGTTGATTTTTGGAAAATTCGCCAAAATAAACAAGCAATGAAAATTGAAGGATTCGTTGCTGCTTATGATTATACGTACGTGAGTAGTGTGACGTTTTCTTGTTATCACAAGATACATATAATATATAGATTCCATTAATGATTTAGCGGAGGACCCTTGTTATCGAGAGATCTAAGATTTGTTTTTCATGAATTTGCAGATCTCTGTCATCGATTTGCTCTGAATTTGCATGAAGCTTTAAAGACGAAGGTCGGAATAGTAGAAGAGAACGTGTCGGGGGTTCCTGTTAATTAATTTTTCTTCAATGAAAATTCTGTAATCGTGCAGCATCCCGCACTGTTAATGGAGCCTATAGGTTGTTCTTGGAGTCATCTTATGAGGCTATATGATGGTGCGTTACTCGGTTATTTGCATCTCCATTCCCTATTAGTTGACAATCTAATTAGCTATCCCTTCAGTAGGAAAGCACCTTGCTGTCAACAAAGTTTCCACCCACTCACTTATGGGCGTTCTGGTATTGTCTATTGTACCATCAACTTCCTCTTGCCCCGGAGAACTTCTAAAGCACACACTAGATACTAGTCATTGTTTCGTGAACTCTCTTGCTATTGTTTCGTCATAATTGTCCATGGGTACAAGGATCCCAGTGAGGCGCTACGTGTTCTGTTCGCTGGTGATATTGAATATGAATTTTTCATTGTAGCTACAGGACTATCCTTGAAAAGAGCACGTGCCATTTGTATTTGCCAACATACAGCGCGTGGACGATGATACAAAATCTGCGGGATACATTGAAATTCTGTGAGGCTGGAAAAGAAGAAAAAAATTATTGATCAGTACAGCAGGAAGTGTAGCCTTGCCGTTTATGGATATTTTATTAGTCTCGTGAAATATTTTTGTTATTTTTTGACAGCGACGTTCAGACGTTTCTTACTGAGGTTTTTTGTGATCTGCAAGAAAATGATAATTCCAATTTAGTCGATGTCAGCTTACCTCTTGTAAAATCCTATGTTCGCCTGCTGCACCGTGACGGAAAGACTTGGAGAGCCTGTTAAAAATGAGCAGAACGCTTATCTCGTTACACAAGGAAGAGGGAGCGACGAAAGCTAATTACGAAAGCAAATTCCATTAAACCTTTACTACGCAATTTAGTCTGCGTTAACGAAATTTAATACAATCGAAATTTCACTCGAGTCCTTATTTTGTGAATTCTTGTTATCATCGGTATGGATTTTCACGATAGCAGTAGCTCGATTTCAGGTTTAATATTTTCAAATTTATATATATATGGTTCTATGTACTGAGTAAGCACTTATATGTGTTCCTGAGGACTGTGTGAAGTTGGCACCTCAAATGTACGAAACAAATGTTATAATTAGAACATAGCTCCTGCGGGTTATATTCAATGTTGCCAATCGATGCCATATTAATACGTGAATGATCTGGTGAGAATTTGCCTTATATTCACGTAACTGGTTACCTAGTAGATTCGACGGCACGTTATTGACTGATAATTCTTAGGTGGTTTCATCCTAGGGGTCATCTTGTTTCGTAGCTTGGCAACTTGTCGGAAATTTCGTGTAATTGCTTCGTGTGCCATTTACAGCTCGACCCTTTTGCACACTAATAATAATTTAAAGTCGTACCGGTTTACGCCATCAGTTGGAATAAACATTCGCAAATGACGCTTAGGTTGAGTTGAGTCTATTCTAGAAAATAAACTGTTTTAAAATCGCGTTAGACTCAGAATTTCCGTGCGGCGGGCTACTACGTAATGGCAACAACTTCCTGGAGTAATTTGATGATCAACTCTCTCTGTGATTACAATTCAATGTAACTACTGTGTCGTAAGAATAACTAGTACGATTCTAATCCTATAGGAGCTCGATATACGATAACATGGATCTTGTAAGAAGGGGAAACATGGATCTTCTACTAAAGAGAAGAGAAGGGAGCGAATAACGCTTTGTGAAAATCCAGGAATCTACAACCGCGAAATTTTCTGATGATATTTCATCCGGCTGTCGCATTTCACTGATGCATCCTTTGTGTCCTCGCTCGAGTTCACCAGTTTTCTTTTCTTGCTGGAGATAAAGATGTTACTCATGGTGAATACTACGATAATCGATCACCCTATAGAATATATATGAAGACAAGTGCTATGGATTCTGAAATTATTTTATACAGGGCTTGGCTCATGATATCTGATTAATATTTTTATCATATATTTTGTCTCGGTACCTTCTCTTAACTGATTGATTGATTCTCTTCACTTTTACTATAAATTGGCTAAACGCGTGTAACCAATTTGGCTTTGTTTTTGTCCTAGACGTATCCGAGAGAATCCAAAATCTCTCAAAGGGTCCGATAAATTTAATAAGGAGTGGCACGTCTTGCCGTATAGTACTTAAGATCGGCTCCTGTGACCGGTTTATCTCCTGTTCCTGAACCTTCTGTACCTGATTATCCGTTTACTAAAGTAGTGCAATTAATAGGATATCTGGATAAACCTCTCGAGAATCCACTATCGTACGATAAGAAGTTATTATTATTGTATGTTAATAAATTTCACCATAAGAGATTTGACTTCGCATTCGACCAATTACTAAGCGGTATTGATATTGTTTAGATCCTAGAAATCAATTTATTGTATGGTTCCGTAATAATAATTTATATAACGCTCGATGCCACAGTAATATTTGATTCCAGGCCAGATTCGTGTGTCGTGTGTTTACAGGGGTAGCCAAATCCTGGCCAAGCAATCATCTTCGATCTTATCAAAGCCTGGCAAATATTCGCGGCACGCGTAATTAACTTTCTGCGTACATGTATCGACGCCCTCCGACTAGAGCGTGTGGAGTCGGAAAAGGGCGAGGTGGTTCTAACGAAGCTTCTCGAAATTAGATCTCTACTGGATGGTTCAGAATACGAAGGTTTTAATGGCTATTCGGAATGTTTATTACCTTTTTTTCCAAAAGCATAATTTTTTTTAAATACAATTACAGATACTCGTAATCTTTTAAAAATACTTTGCCGAGCACTTTCAAATATATTGGGTCTGCCCTAAACCTCAACGAATGGTTATACGTTTTCTTTCATTTTTTAGATGTGAATTACGGCCTATGCTTGTGCTTCCTTATGGAACACGAGAATTCACTTAACAGACGCAAATCCTTCATCATGAGATTCTACTTGAAGGGACGTCCTTCCTGCTTTGTTCTTGTACAATGTTCCTCGAAGATTTGGAGTATTCTTAACCTTTGGTCGGCCGGTGGGAATTTTCTCTCGAAACCCTAACAATCGATACAGGAGAAAGATTTTGATGTTAGGAGGTATACTGGTACAGTCAAGCGTGGGAAGTTTGTGGAGTGATGTGAAGTTGATCAAAATTGTAGCCGACGGTGGAAGTTAGGTCAATTGTAGTTGGTTGATTATTTTCACGTTACTAATATATTTTAAAAAAACTTGACCGCAAAACTGAATATTAATTTTATTTTATACAAAAAATATACAGCAAGGCAATAACGCTATGCAAATATTATGAGCCAAATATTTCTGTACTGTCGATTCAAAATATTCATGCTATGCTATTTCAAATCAATTTGGAATTTGATTTGTCGTTATTCCAGCACGTGCATGGCATTCTACGAGTGCCTTCTGTAATTGAAGGCTGAATTGGCGGAAAGTCTAAAAAACGTATACCGGAATCTTTGCCATAATTAACCACTGGATAATCGACAATAGTTATTTTCAGACAATGCCGTACGTGCCGAACAGAAGAACTAATTGTGAAACTTCCTAATACCCCAATTGTTTAACGACAGCTGTGGAAGATTTCTAAAGTTACCGTCAGCGATAATATTCCTCTGGATCTTCCCTAATACCAGGCATTATTACTAAAAGCAATATAGTTTGCTATAATTTATAGGGGGTGAATGAAACAGAGGGTTTGTTTTGGTGCGTCATGCGTTCAATATAATCCCCAGTGAGTTATGCCAGCTCCAGACCGCAATCGCTCGATCCGTTGTTTGTCAACGTGAACTTGCGTATTTGCAATACGTGATAATCTTCCTTCGGAGTTTTTCACTGCATGCCTATGTCCTACGTGGATTTGTAACAGGCGGAAAAATCGTGATCTTCCGTTAATCCCTAGAGACCTATCAACGAACATGCTATACGTATTTTTCACGAAGTTCAGCATCCACTGCTCCAAGGTATTGATATCCATGTTTCACCCTACTTTTATTACATCAGTGTGTTACTAATTTCGTCTTGGAATTCATAACCATGTTGAATCGTTAGTCCTGAGGTTGGGTTAGCGGAGAATTCAGACGTCTAAGGAATGCCAGACCTGTTCCAGAATATCGGGTATAGATGCTAGGCATCAGTATCGACATTCCACACTGGATGGAGTTAACGTTTAACGGATTCGAAATATGGTAATAAAATATCACGTAAATCACTATTAAAAAATAGTGGTACGTGCTCTTTAACTTCTCTGTACTCTTTAAGGTACTGCTAGATGGAATATTGGCTAAGCCTGAAGAAAGCATCAGGTTACTGCATGCAACAGGCACGTGTGTCACGGGTACCCCCTCTGTCCATCGTTCATCCATTTTTTAATCTTTTTCAACCACGTGTTCCGAAGCCTCCATAACCAAGCTTGGACTTGATGGTTTATTATTGTTCCCTTGCGTGGGCTGGATTTGTCCTCTGTGACATATGTCAAAGTGCATATCTTTATCCGCTACTTTTACACAGACCACTTGTATACGTGGTTCGCCTTTGCTCGCCAACCATCATGTGATTTCCTATGAGAAAATTTTTCGTCAGTGGATTATCATAAGTACTGCTGTCTCATCGCTTTTACATTAAACCGCGTCAGTAAGGTGGAAGGCTTATTGGATTATGAGTTAATATTTTTTTTTGATTAAATTGAAGAGACATTTTTGCAGATACAAATTTCATCCTTTTACTTGTCGTATATTATATCTATAAGTAAAAAAATGTGATGGGGCATGCGTGTTAAAAATAATGGAAATGGACAGATACACTGTGTCTGGTTATAGGGAGAGAGAAATAGTCTTTTAAAAAAAAGAATTGGTCCATATTTGAACGTCTCTCGATTATATGAATAATTACATGGAGTTTCGTTGCTTGCATTCGGGGTCGCTCATTTTCGTTATTGCTGTTTATTCGTTTTCGGCTCTTTTCTTTTATTCATCTTTGCAGAAGTCGCACGTGGGAACGAAATTATATTGACAATATCTACTCACGTCGTTCTCGATGACTCGTTCCACTCGAATTCGGATATACTTTTCGAGAACGCTTACCTCCTTTTTTATTACTCTCCTCACACGTCTTAGATGTTTGCTTTGCTGTCGGATAGAACTTGCGTTTGTTAGGATATTAGGCTGGATATTAGGATGCTGGATGTATGGATGTCTGGGGAGCTTGTTGGCATAGAATTCTAATCTAACCATATTGCTTCTACTTGGACCTCGTTTTTTTATTATAATATTTATATACAATAAGGTACCTCTCGATAATAGGGTACCGTCACAGTATGGAGTTTATTTTTATTCTTGAATCTGTCAATTCTTTTGAATATTATTCCTTTTATGTTACATTGATATTGCATAAGCATTTTCCATTTTCGTATTTTTATTATGTTGGAACTCCTTCACCTCTGTACCTTGAATACAATATGCATTTTATTGATTTTTTTTTTTTAGTTTTCTCGTTTTAAGGACCCAGGTGATCGCTCTTTAAAAACCATTAGCTAGGGACGTGATCTAATGGATTAGTCAGTCAGGCAGTTTTTCTATATCTGTCTGATTTTGATATTGCTGCAGTGCCGCTGTTCACACAATACCTGGGATTTCAAACGGAATGATATAGTGACTTTATATTGACTCAAAAATTAGATTACCTCTATAGTAATTTCTTACGTCTACGTTATAAATAGAGATGTCCATTAATAGTTTTAATGATACTACGAAATGCTCCAAGGTCAAGTGTTTTCGATTCTCGTAGCTTGGTCTCTTAGAATCAGTAAATTACGATGCTTCCTCAAACGCTCTATCCTGAATATAAGTGGTACTCATTGATAATTTAAGGCGTTTGGTAACTATGTACGTAACGGTAAGGTATTAACGATGAGCTGAAATTTCTATACTTATCGTGTAACAGTATCCTTTGATATCAGAAGACAAATAGGTACCAGTAACGGGAGCATTAGTTATTCTCTTCATTGAGTTGCGGGTTAACTGGCTCGCAATTTGACTGCTCCTCTTTCGCCGTTGAGACCTTCCCGAGAGTCTAAATTTTCTTAGGG